CTGGCACATCAGACCTACACTACACATGGCATGTGGCACATCCGACCTACACTACACATGACACCTGGTACATCAGACCTACACTACACATGACATCTTGCACATCAGACCTACACCACACATGACATCTAGCACATCAGTCCTACAGTACACATGGCATCTGGCACATCAGACCTACACTACACATGACATCTGGCATATCTGACCTACACTACACATGGCATCTGGCACATCAGACCTACACTACATATGACATCTGGTACATCAGACCTACACTACATATGACATCTGGCACATCAGACCTACACTACATGTGACATCTGGCAAATCAGACCTACACTACACATGGCATCTGGCACATCAGACCTACACAGTTTGGGACAGTTTGTTTGTTGTGAAGCGGTTATATACAAAACTTATTCTAATTTTTATTTTACTTTTTTTCTCTTCTTTTTCTTTATATTAAAATTATATGCAGCCAGGTTCTCTTAGTAATATTGTACAAAGAGGCATATATATGTGAACATTATTTCATAAAGCTGGGTTGTAGCGAACAATGATTCCAAATGGAAGTCGTTTTAAGTATAATTTTGATACAGTTATATGAATTTTGTTTTCTGTATAAAAAATCCCACCCTTTTCAACATAGGGTCTACATGTGCGAACTTTATGTGATGATAGTCTTTACAATATTTAATAAAATATATTCAGTACAATATATAGATATGAGTAAATTTAATTTTGAGGAAAAATAAATTAACTGTGATGTCATTAAACTTAGGGGGCCTCGGAGGTACATTTAAGAGAAAACAAATATTGAAATTTTTAAGAAGTAAAAAAGCACAAATTTATTGTCTACAAGATGTTCATTTTACAGCAGATCAAGAACAACAAATAAAGTAGCAATGGGGTTATAAAGAATGTTATATTGCCCCTTTTAAAAGTAATGCAAGAGGGACAGCACTTTTATTTAATAATATTTTTGAGTTCAAAGTTACCAAAGTATTATTAGATAAGGATGAAGGAAATTATGTTGCCTTAAATATAGAAATACAAAAATATGTATACACACTAATTAATATGTATGGGCCAAATTTGGATAAACCAGAATTGTTTGAAAAAATAAAAGAAACTATAACTGAATTAGAAGGGGACAGAATAATTTTATGTGGAGATTGGAATTTAATACAAGATATAGATTTGGATACATATAATTATAAATACATAAATAATCCTAAATCCAGAAAGGTTGTTTTAGAAATAATGGATCTGTTTGATCTGAAAGATCCATGGAGGGAATCTAATCCAAATGAAAAGCGTTTTACATGGCGTCAGCCAAATCCAATTAAACAGGCCCGCTTAGATTATTTTGTAATCTCACAAAATTTTCAGTATTCAATTATTAAATGTGATATTTTTGATAAGTTTAAACTCTGATCATTCTTTGATTTCGATGACATTTAATTTATCAGATATGGAAAGAGGATATTGGAAATTTAATAATTCTTTGTTGTATGATAAGGAATATGTTGAACAAATAAAGATAATAATAACGTTTACCCTTAATCAATATGAGGATAAAACATATTTGGAAGGTAAAAGGTATGTGATTAATTATCAGTTATTATGGGAAACCATATTACTTGCTATTAGAGGAGAGTCAATATATTATTAATCCACAAAAACAAACAAACTATTGCGAGAGAAAAAGAATTAGAAACTAAACTGTATGATCTGGAAACAAAAATAGATAATGTAGAATTAGAATTGGAAAAGACCAAAATATTGAGCACCATAGATGAACTAAAAGCAGAAAGGGAGGATATAACAAAATTAAGACACAGGGATTATTCGTCAGGTCAAAAGCAAAATGGCCTGGATAGAGTATGGGGAAAAACCCAGTACATATTTTCTGCATTTAGAACATAGAATTTTTTTAAGTAAATCTATTAGTGAATTGATAAAAAGTGATGGAACAGTAATTAAAAAACAAAATGAGATATTGGAAGAAACAAAATTATTTTATCAAAAATTATATTCCAGTGAAGAATGTACACAAATTAATTTAGAAGAGCTTTTCACTGAGATAAATATTCCAAGACTAGACACACATATTTCATTAGATTTAGAAGATGAAATATCTTATGAGGAAGCTCTTGTAGCATTGAAAAAATATGAAAAATGATAAAAGCCCTGGACCTGATGAATTTTTAAAATTCTTTTGGAATGACATTCGTAAATATCTGATAAATTCTCTTAATTATGCATACAGAAATAACACAAAAACAAGGATTGATTACATGTTTGCCTAAAGAAAACAAATCTAAATTATTTCTAAAAAACTGGAGACCAATATCACTTTTGAATACCTCATATAAATTAGCATCAGCAATAATTGCAAACAGAACAAAAAAAAGTACTACCCCAAATTATACATGAAGACCAAAAAGGTTTCGTTCCTGGAAGATATATTGGAGAAGTGATGAGGCTTATATATGATTTAATTGATTATACTGATACATACTAAATACCTGGTCTATTATTACTCATAGACTCTGAAAAAGCTTTCGATTCAGTGGATAGAAAATTTATTTGAGATGTTTAAGAATTTTTTAAATTTGGACCAAATATACAACAGTGGGTAAAAACATTTTTTAATGGTATGGAATCAAGTGTTCTAGTAAATGGTTTTGCAAGTTCTTTCATTAAACTAACTAGAGGTTGTCGTCAGGGCGATCCATTATCACCATATTTATTTATTATGTGTGCTGAAATACTGGCAATTATGATTAGGAGCAACAAAAGGATTAAGGGAATTCAAATGGGAAATGTAGAACATATCGTAGCTCAATTTGCTGATGATACTTCTCTAAGTTTAGATGGTACAGAAAATGGCCTCTATGCAGTAATGAATACATTACAGTTTTTTTGCTACATTTTCAGGATTAAAGGTAAATACAGATAAGACCAAAATAATATGGATTGGATCCAAAAAGAGATCACGGTATAAACTATGTAAAGAATGGAAGTTAGATTGGACAAGTACAAAATTTAAATTGTTAGGAATAAATTTTGATGTGGACCTTGAAAAATTAGTGGAGATTAATTATGAGGAAAAATTGGAAAAAAAATTGAAAAGGAAATGAATCAATGTTCAGCAAGAAGTTTGACACCAATAGGCAGAAATGTAGTCTTAAAATCCCTTCTATTGTCAAAACTAAACCTTTTATTCACTGCAATACCAAATCCTTCAGTCGAAACTATTGAACATTTTCAAAAAAAAATGTTTTAGATTTGTATGGAAGGGTAAACCAGACAAAATCAAGAGAAGCAATATTTCATTACCTAAAAAATATGGAGGAATTAAAGTACCCATTATATAAGATGTTATAGCAGCACAAAAAATAGTATGGGTGAAGAGATTACTGTATAGTCAGTGCAAGTGGTCAACTCTAGTTTCTTATTGTATACCGAATAGAAACAGATTACTATGGATGGCAGATGATATGTACATTAATACTTACATCATCCCAAATGTTGTAAATTTATTTTGGAAAGATGTTTTGGAGGCATGGTCGCGATACCTGGGAATGAATAAAATAAAGACTAAAATTGAATTTATAAACCAATCTCTATGGTATAATAACAATATTATGATTGGGGGAAAACCGGTATTTTATGGAAATTGGTTCTGTAAAGGTTTAATGTTTATTTGTGATTTATTGAAGGATAGCGGGGAAATATATACCTAGGAAGAATTTGTGGAAGCATACAAATTTGAAACTGATTTTCTTACATATCAAGGTTTATTAAGTGCTGTCCACCAATATTGTAAAACCAACAATTTAGATAATTATACGGGAATATATTTACGACCAAAATTACCCTTCAATGTATCACTTATAATTAATTGTAAAGGCGGAAGTAAAGACTTTTATAACACTCTTCTACAACCAAATTTCGTAAAAACCCATGGAATGCTTAAGTGGGAAAATGTTTTACAAAAAAATTTTAGTAATGAAGAGTGGGAAATATATAATTTGATGGTTTACAGATGTACACAAAGTGTAAGCCTAATTTGGTTTCACCTTAAGATACTACACTATATTCTTGCAACAAATAGTTATTTATTTAAGATTGGTTATGAAGATACCCCCACATGTACTCTTTGTAAAACTTGCCCAGAAACCATTATTCATATGTTTTGTGAATGTCAATATACAATTCATATTTGGGAGGATTTGAAAGATTGGTTAGGGACAACAGTGGAAGGAAGTATTGATTGTAGTAACCAAAATCTTTTATTTGGATTTAAAGGAAAAAACAATAACCCATTAAATATTATATTTTTAATTGCAAAATTTGTAATTTATAAACAAATGAGAAAGAAATCAATTCCACATTTTAAACAAGTAAAGTGGGAAATAATTAAATATTATGAAGCTACAAGATCAATTGCTTTCTCAAATTGTAAACAAGCTAAATTTTCCTCTTTTTGGTCTTCATTCCACACATTATTCAAGAATACCAAGATATGATTTAATATTACAATTTGTCTGTTATACTGTATAGAAACCTTATAAATAGATCTACCAGATGTACCAGAGAAACAAACTACTGAATGTACAACAAGGCGATTTGAATATATACCATGCTGATCTTAATGTAATATGTTCCATGTATACTTTGTATTTGAAATTATGGGAATACAAAAGAAAAAGAAAAAAAACAAAACACACTTTATATCACAGTGACATTTAAACATGAACCGTGTCTGTATTTGGTCCCTAATTATATAGCAGCTGCAGTCTTTTCATCTTCATCCGGGGGCACGGGTGGCCCAGTCGTCTAAGGCGCCGCGATTCGCTGTGCAGAGTTGCGTCCTTTGGGCACGCCAGAAACCTATGATTGTGGGTTCGAATCCCGGTTCGCCCCGATTATGTTTCTAGGTTTGTCAGCACCATACCCGTGCTCGTGGGTTTCACCGAAGTGGTAAACGTCTAAGACCTGCATCACTTCGGGCTTTCCTCCCACATTAGGCTGACACGCCGCGATATAACTGGAATACTGTTAAAAGCGGCGTTAAACCCAACTCACTCACTCATCTTCATACTCCCTCTTAAGGAAGCACTGCTGCTGGTTCTTAAGAGTTGGCGTCTACTCCATCTCGTGGCCGTCAGCAGTTTTCATAGATATTCCCATCTGAAAGAGACAAATGTCAGTGTACTGCTGTACTGCTTCAGTTTGTGGCGTTCGTGACCAACTCGTGTTATTCCGGAACAAGTCGAATAGCGACTCTCTCGTGGCCATTAGTGCGACCGGGTTCCGTCTTAGCGCAAAACGGGCATACCTAAAACCATTGTCAAGTCGTTGCGTAATGGTTCACATATATTTCCCCTTATATCATATACATGTCAAATGCAGTTTCAAACACATCAGGACAAGCGAAATTATACAGTATGATAGAACACATTTAACTGTGTCTTGGGTATTTTTTAGATGCAAGATATATGTAAAATCAAAAATTATTTCTGAGGGATAATCATTCTTTGACGAATAAATTTAAATCATACGCGTATTCTGATTGGTTTGTCGTATCTTCGCACATAACGAGTCTTCTTGTGGGTTACGGAAAGGGGCGAGTGGTGACGAATGAGTTTGTGTCTTTCAGCATAGATGTCTCGGTATTATAAAAAGTGTTGTTGGAAATATAATGTCACTGTTTCTAAATAGACATATTTTTTATGACATCCAGCGTGCCAAGTGAACATGGTATTCATATTGAATGTTTTCGTAGTAGCTAGTAGCTAGTGAACGAATCATTTAAATAACTTTCGTTTCTTTATTTATCAAAGTAGACATATTTTATGAATAACATCTTGTTTTGCTTGACATGAGTATAACGTCGCTATGATATTATAATGAAGTAGCTTTATCCATGAATTATGTCAACTGCGTCATCCTACACCTTCTGGTTTTAATTCAGCCATTTTGACAGCTAACAGACGACGCAAAATTACCTTACCCAAATACATTCGCATAAACATTGGTTCATTTCAGCTCAACGATACTGATGCGAGATAAGCAAGTTACCTAAGGTCTGTTCCGATTGATTTCGCGGAGGGCTACATGAGCGGGCTACATGGAAAATAGTTCCCCGCTACATAACCAATCATTAGCTAGTATTTTAATGTACGTTGAGACAAAAGACTTTAAACGATAATATTTCACGTTACCCGCTTGGCGGTCAGCATTGAATGGATAAATCAAGGACAAGTGGACTCGGAGTCAGTATTCTGTGTTAAAGCGGAGTATCCATGTTAACTGCGGCATGGTATCTCATTGGGCTCGTCTACACTAGTGAAAGCACGTACATGCACGTCGATATGTACACGAAATGAAATAATCTTGAACCCCATTTCACCCCACCTCAAGTGTGCAATGTTTCAGTCTCATTGTTTTATGAAGGATACAACCAAATCATATACAACTATTTTGAGAATACAGTTAACCGCCCTCCATATCACCCGTGTTGGTAGCTTGCTGTGTTGATAACGGGTTATTGTACAGGGAGTGCCCACGTACCGTTATGCTTCTTTCCTTTGCGTCCATGCTTTGGTTTGGTTTTTACTGCTGGCTTCACATTTTGATAAATCCCTTCTTGAGGAGTTGCTGTAAAGTGAATAATGATGCTAAAGTGATAATGATGCTAAAGTGAATAATGATGATAAAATGAATAATGATGATGAAGTGAATAATGATGATGAAGTGAATAATGATAAAATCATTAATGATGATAAAGTGAATAATGATGATAAAATGAATATTGATGATAAAAGGAATAATGACGATAAAGTGAATAATGATGATAAAATGAATAATGATGATAAAGTGAATAATGATGATAAAATGAATAATGATTATAAAAGGAATAATGACGATAAAGTGAATAATGATGATAAAATGAATAATGATGATAAAGTGAATAATGATGATAAAATGAATAATGATTATAAAAGGAATAATGACGATAAAGTGAATAATGATGATAAAGTGAATAATGATGATAAAGTGAATAATGATGATAAAATGAATATTGATTATAAAAGGAATAATGACGATAAAGTGAATAATGATGATAAAATGAATAATGATGATAAAGTGAATAAAGATGATAAAATGAATAATGATGATAAAATGAATAATGATGATAAAATGAATAATGATGATAAAATGAATAATGATGATGAAGTGAATAATGATGATAAAATCATTAATGATGATGAAGTGAATAATGATGATCAAGTGATTAATGATGATAAAATGAATAATGACGATAAAGTGAATAATGATGATAAAATAAATAATGATGATAAAATCATTAATGATGATAAAGTGAATAATGATGATAAAATGAATAATGATGATAAAATGAATAATGATGATAAAATGAATAATGACGATAAAGTGAATAATCATGATAAAATGAATAATGATGATGAAGTGAATAATGATGATAAAATCATTAATGATGATAAAGTGAATAATGATGATAAAGTGAATAATGATGATAAAATGAATAATGATGATAAAATGAATAATGATGATAAAATGAATAATGACGATAAAGTGAAAAATGATGATAAAATGAATAATGATGATGAAGTGAATAATGATGATAAAATCATTAATGATGATGAAGTGAATAATGATGATAAAATGAATAATGATGATAAAATAATTAATGATGATAAAATGAATAATGATGATAAAGTGATTAATGATGATAAAGTGAAAAATGATAAAGTGAAAGATGATCATAAAGTGAGCTTCACAAACAAATACATTTATTTTGATAAATCCCTTCTTGAGAATGCTGTAAAGTAAATTATGGTGTGGTTCTGTAAGAGCTGTTGTAATATTCTATACACGAAACTCAAAACAGCGACTGTTTGTTGAATATGTGATAGCCACAGAGGATTATTTTAATATTACTAACGGGAAGATAGAAGCGGCACCAGATTCTCACCATCCAGAGTGGGTTTTCCTACGTTTTTGTTCGACAGAAACATGTCTACTCACGTAATCTCAGCCACGAGATTGATTAGACGACAAACTATTACAAACCAAGAATAGTGCTTCCTTATGAGAGAGAAATAGGGATGGAGCGACAGGTATATTAGTAGGGAACAAAGACAGGCCTGGTTCATACTGATATGGATCTTCCCGAGGCAAGACTGTTAACCGACTATAAAAGTCCAGTTTCAACTCTTGCCGAGACCGCATCCGTAGTGTAGTGGTAGAGCGTCCGCCTGGAGAGCGGAAGGTCCGGGGTTCGATCCCCGACCGCGTCATACCAAAAGACGTTAAAAGATGGTACTTGTTGTTACCCTGTCTAGCGCTCGGCATTGAGGGGCTAAAACAAGGACTGGTCGGCATGGAGTCAGTATACTGTGTCTGAGTGGGGTATTCATTTTAAACTTCGGCATGGTATCTCAGTGAGCTAGCACTATAAATCGGCATTAGTCCGAACTGGTACAAGCAGCCACACAAACACACACACGTACATGCACGTCGCTATATAAGTGCAATGATCTTGGACACGACGTTAAACCCCATTTCACCCCACCTCTTGCCGAACTAGGCTGGAATTCCAGAGTTTCATTTTGGCTGGACTAACGAGTCTATGCATTGTCCAATCAAAACCGCGTAACGAACTAGACATCCGGTTCGTAAACAACATGGATTTCAACGTGCAGATTTTTGTCGACTGCAGGATTTGCAAAGCATGTGTATCGTCAACTGGGCGTCGACGGATATTTTGCAATCTTTTTATGTTTATAATCAAGGAGGCAAGTGATTTGATGCAGCTCGCTGGGTAAGACCCGTTTTATTACAATACAGGTCTTGATTATCGATCAGATCGTCTTGACTGGGCGCTGCCATTTTGTTTGAAGCAAATGCATGTGCCATGAGAGCTGTAATCTGATTGGTCAAAAGGAGGGACACAGAAGGGACATAACTCTTAATAGCCACTGATGGCGCTACGATTGAGTCTAGAAATTCCAGCATAGGTCGGCAAGGGTGGAAACTGGACTTTTATTGTCAGTTAACGTCTTTGTCTTCGGAAAATGTAAAAACACATGCGTGAGTGAATTAAATTTAACGTCACATCGGCAATATTTCAGTGATGTAATGACGAAAACACATACAACCGCCAACTTCGACGGGAGATAAGATTTTGGGTGAGTGAGTTTAGTTTAACGTCGCTTAGAACAATGCTGCTGGTCTCAGACACTTACCAGCTTGATGGCCAGCCTACAATCGTGATCGGGGCCGGTATTTGAACGCATAATTATATATTTTGGGCGCGTCTACGGAGCGCACCCTGCAGAGGGAAAATGCAGCTGGGCCAGTATAGTTCGGTTCAGATCGAGTGGTAATCAAGGTCTATACATAGCCGTTTTCTTATCACATTTTGTTTGTTGTTTATGCCGCACTCAGCAATATTCCAGCTATAGGACGGAGGTTTGTAAATCGTGCATGGATCTGATAATCCAGTGATTGACATCATGAGCATAGCACTACGCAACTGGGATACGATGACATGCATCAACCAAGTCAGCAAGCCTGACTACCCGATCCCGTTAGTCGCCTCTCACGTCAAGCCTGGGTGCCTGAAGAGCAATTGTATCCCAAATCTCCAGTGGGTTCTTGTCACACAGTCCCACACTTACCCTAACCTTTACTCCAAACACAATAACAGTAAACCAAACTAACAGTAAACCAAACTAACAGTAAACCAAACTAACAGTAAACTAAACTAACAGTAAACCAAACTAAAAGTAAACCAAACCAACAGTAAAATAAACTAAAAGTAAACCAAACTAACAGTAAACCAAACTAATTCTAATTCTACGATTTCTTGTTTTAAAAATTCGTTACAAAAGCACCACCCCACGTCACCTGCGTACTTCGCTTATGGAAAAAGAAAATATAATATCTTACACACAAAACTGAGATACATGTGCAGTCAATTGAATTATGATCTATATAGAATTGGTATAAAAGATCACCCGAACTGTACATGTTCGAATACATGTGAAAATGCATATAATTATCTCATGGAATGTACATTGTTTAGTCATCAGCGTGAAATTATGTTAAACAGCCTTAACAATATTGTTCATAACATACCTGTTGATGTACACTTACTGTTATATGGCAATGCAGATCACGTTGTTACAGAAAATGAAGCTATGTTTAAGGCAGTACAACATTATATATGCACAACTAAAAGATTTGTGTAACGAACTGTTCATTCAACAATGTATCTCCCCCCCCCCCCCCCCCCCCCCCTCTCTCTCTCTCTCTCTCTCTCTCTCTCTCTCTCTCTCTCTCTCTCTCTCTCTCGCGCTCTCTTTCTCTCTCTCTCTCTCTCTCTCTCTCTCTCATCTATAGTGTTGTATGCATATATATTGAATTTGAAATTGTGAAATTTGTGTAAATACCAGGGAGAGGGCATTCTAAGTTGGAAGAACTTGTCCCCCAATCCCGTTCACTCCTTGTGAATAAATATGTTCAAATTAAAATCAACCAAACTAACAGTAAACCAAACTGACAGTAAACCAAACTAACAGTAAACCAAACTGACAGTAAACCAAACTAACAGTAAACCAAACTAACAGTAAACCAAACGGACAGTAAACCAAACTGACAGTAAACCAAACTAACAGTAAACCAAACGGACAGTAAACCAAACTGACAGTAAACCAAACTAACAGTAAACCAAATTAACAGTAAACCAAACTGACATCAAACCAAACTAACAGTAAATCAAACGGACAGTAAACCAAACTAACAGTAAACCAAACTAACAGTGAACCAAACTGACAGTAAACCAAACTGACAGTAAACCAAACTGACAGTACACCAAACTAACAGTAAACCAAACTATCAGTAAACCAAACTGACAGTACACCAAACTAACAGTAAACCAAACTGACAGTAAACCAAACTGACAGTAAACCAAACTGACAGTAAACCAAACTAACAGTAAACCAAACTGACAGTAAACCAAAGTGACAGTACACCAAACTAACAGTAAACCAAACTAACAGTAAACCAAACTAACAGTGAACCAAACTGACAGTAAACCAAACTGACAGTAAACCAAACTGACAGTAAACCAAATTAACAGTAAACCAAACTGACAGTGAACCAAACTGACAGTGAACCAAACTGACAGTAAACCAAACTGACAGTAAACCAAACTGACATCAAACCAAACTAACAGTAAACCAAACTAACAGTAAATCAAACGGACAGTAAACCAAACTAACAGTAAACCAAACTAACAGTAAACCAAACTGACATCAAACCAAACTAACAGTAAATCAAACGGACAGTAAACCAAACTAACAGTAAACCAAACTAACAGTGAACCAAACTGACAGTAAACCAAACTGACAGTAAACCAAACTGACAGTACACCAAACTAACAGTAAACCAAACTATCAGTAAACCAAACTGACAGTAAACCAAACTGACAGTACATCAAACTAACAGTAAACCAAACTGACAGTAAACCAAACTGACAGTAAACCAAACTGACAGTAAACCAAACTAACAGTAAACCAAACTGACAGTAAACCAAACTGACAGTACACCAAACTAACAGTCAACCAAACTAACAGTAAACCAAACTGACAGTGAACCAAACTGACAATAAACCAAACTGACAGTAAACCAAACTAACAGTAAACCAAATTAACAGTAAACCAAACTGACAGTGAACCAAACTGATATCAAACCAAACTAACAGTAAACCAAACTGACAGTAAACCAAACTAACAGTAAATCAAACGGACAGTACACCAAACTAACAGTAAATTAAACTATCAGTAAACCAAACCGGCATACCGGGGCTGTTCTGGTACACGATGGTGTCATAAGCGGCCGGGACAGTCCCGGGGCGACTTGTAAGTCCGGTATAATGATTCTCAGGCGCTTCACCTGAAAACACACGTGTGTGAGTGAGTGAGTGAGTGAGTGAGTTGGGTTTAACGCCGCTTTTAACATAATTCCAGTTATATCAGTCAGCTTCATGTGGGAGGAAAGCTCGAAATTATGCAGGTCTCAGACCGGTGAAACCCACGAGCACGGGTATGTTGCTGACAAACCTAGAAACATAATCGGAGCGAACTGGGATTCGAACCCACAATTATAGGTTTCTGGCGTGGCCAAGGGACGTAACTCTGCACAGCAAATCGCGGCGCCTTAGGCGACTGGGCCACCCGTGCCCCCCAAAACACACATGTCATTTGACGAATGCGTGAGCGCAGTTGTTGGTCACTATAACATTAAATTGGTAGCATAAAATAACATATCTACGTATTTCTTAAAGAAGAGCAAATGTCAAAGATTCAAACCATAAACTTTATCACATCCAATTCACTCATTGCTTGACATTATTCTTCATTCGTATTCATCAAATATACCGTGTTCATATAATACTAAATGTGGATTTAACATCGACATTTTTACATATTTTCGCAAAAAAGCTAGACATTGTTACCTCTATCATCCGACGAACTTGTTTCTTCATTCCTGGAAGAAGATGAGTTAAATTAATCAACCATTATATCATGCCCCTTGGCACTTGCACGTTGTTGTTATTTAGATTCCGCTTATTTTATTAATTGTAGCCACTAATATGCATTTAGTCATGCTAGAAATATGTTTGTTTGTTTGTTTGTTTGTTTGTTTGTTTGTTTAACGCCCCACTCAGCAGTATTCCAGCTGAATGGGGGCGGTCTGTGAAACAAATCGTGTCTGGACAATCTAGTGATTGACATCATGAGCATCGATTGGGATATGACGAAATATATCACACAAGTAAGCGAGACATACCACCCGATCCCGTTAGTCGCCTTTTAAGACAAGCTTGAAAAACACACACGACCATTTGAACATTAGGATCCGTAACATGTATATTTGTTATTTTAAGTGGGCCGGTAAATACCCTAGTCCTGCTGCATCCTTTGAAGGAGTGAACATGCCTTGGGGAGTTCGCCTTTATGGGGAGTGAACATACCTTGGGGAGTTCGCCTTTAAGGGGAGTGAACATACCTTGGGGAGTTCGCCTTTAAGGGGAGTGAACATACCTTGGTGAGTTCGCCTTGATGGGGAGTGAACATACCTTGGGGAGTTCGCCTTTATGGGGAGTGAACATACCTTGGGGAGTTCGCCTTTATGGGGAGTGAACATACCTTGGGGAGTTCGCCTTTATGGGCAGTGAACATACCTTGGGGAGTTCGCCTTGATGGGCAGTGAACATACCTTGCTGAGTTCGCCTTGATGGGGAGTGAACATACCTTGGTGAGTTCGCCTTGATGGGCAGTGAACATACCTTGGGGAGTTCGCCTTGATGGGCAGTGAAAATACCTTGGGGAGTTCGCCTTTCTGGGGAGTGAACATACCTTCGTGAGTTCGCCTTCATGGGCAGTGAACATACCTTGGTGAGTTCGCCTTGATGGGTAGTGAACATACCTTGGTGAGTTCGCCTTTAAGGGGAGTGAACATACCTTGGGGAGTTCGCCTTTATGGGGAGTGAACATACCTTGGGGAGTTCGCCTTTATTGGGCAGTGAACATACCTTGGGGAGTTCGCCTTAATGGGGAGTGAACATACCTTGGTGAGTTCGCCTTTATGGGAAGTGAACATACCTTGGGGAGTTCGCCTTTATGGGGAGTGAACATACCTTCGTGAGTTCGCCTTTATGGGAAGTAAACATTCCTTGGTGAGTTCGCCTTTATGGGGAATGAACATACCTTGGGGAGTTCGCCTTATGGGGAGTGAACATACCTTGGGGAGTTCGCCTTTATGGGCAGTGAACATACCTTGGGCGTTCGCCTTTATGGGCAGTGAACATACCTTGGTGAGTTCGCCTTTATAGGGAATGGACGTGCTGCAAGACAATGTGGAAAACTTTAGTATGAGTGGAAGATATTCCTTGACAATGACGCTGTACCAAAAAGCTATCTACAGTGACGCCTCATCAGTCTGGACGATTAGTCTTGGAAACGTCTACATGTAAGATCACTATATACCGATTCCTCGTGTATCTTGACCCTTGACAATCCGGACTTACTCGTGTATCTTGACCCTTGCCAATTCGGACTTCAGTGGGAACAGTTCCTTTAAGAGCTGGGAGATTGGGATGCGGTTTTTTTTCAAATTTATATTCTGTTCCCGAGGACGTTGGAAACAAACGACATGTCTTGGGGGTTTCACAGACAATCCTTCACTGGGTGTTCAAAAATGTATTGCGTGTCCACGATACATAATTTGCCTCCACCAGATGTTTGTGTCACAAATTCCCAGCGACAGAAACGGACGTCAGTAAATATTGGTTTGTTTGTTGTTTAATGCCGCACTCAGCAATATTCCAGCTATATGAAGCTGGTCTGTAAATAATCGAGTCTGGACCAGACAACCCAGTGATTGACATAATGAGCATCATTCCACGCAATTGGGATCGATGACATCACCACAGTCAGCGAGTCTGACCACCCGATCCCGTTAGTCGCCCCTTACGACAAGCAACTATCTTCACGCTGACGTACCAAGTGACACTACACAAAAATGAGCTATTTCTTGTACCGCCTCCTTCCGTGTCCTCCTTAAACGCGAAACATCAACATTATTTGCCTTCTTTATCAGAGAAAAATGTGTAAGCTGCACTAAGTTACAAAAACATATTTTGCCCCCCCCCCCCCCCCCCCCCATACACACACACAACACATTACAAGAACATTACATAGATTTGGGATCCCTAATATATTCGACTCAAAATCACCGACGCAACACTTACAGATTCTTGGAATGTGGGCACGGAACTTCAACACCAGCAGTGGAACCGCCACGAGCAGGGCCAGGCCTACACATGCAGCAATACCGATCCCTACGCCCGTCCCAAGGGCTTCAGAACTCCAAGCATCTGGCAAAGCAAAAATCGAAACCAGAAACATCACAACTCCCACGCATTATCGAAAAGGTTTAAACAGGTCACCCAAAACGTCTTGAATATCTGAAGAGTACGGGGTTCAGTTAACTTTTAAATCACTGATTTATGTTTTAACGCAACAATTCATAAAAATGAAACCCAAGAATTTAAACTCTGCCCGTAAATTTGTGTGAGAAAGTTAAAGTGAAATGAGATCAACTGTCAATACATTACAGAATTTGCTGTCAAAACCGCATTATTTATTTTGAAGAGCTGTTAAATAACAATGTATGCATGTAAGTATATTGACGCTTACCCTTCGTCTTCTGAAATACTTCATAGGTTTCTGGACCAAGAAAGTTGCTCCCTCGATTATTCCGCGACTGCACTTTAAAGGCGTACTCCGTGTCAGGCTCCAGGCCGACCACCCTCTTGTGGGTGTAGGGTCCAGTCCCCTGGGGTACGGTCTCGCTGGTCCAGTTACCCCCGGGCTTCACACGGTACTGGAGGATGAAGCTCTGGATGAAAGTACCGCCAGGGAAGTTGGGTTTCCATCTTAACCACACAGACTCGCTGGAGGAGTTGATGGCAGAAAACTCCAAAGGTACCAGTGGGGGTCCTGGGAGAGGAAAATACAATTGTGAGACTGCAGAGGGCTTACTCTCGTCATGAGTTCCTACTTCAGCTCTGGACACCTGTATCCCATGAATGTTTAAACAGCCAGCGATTGAGAATAGTGATTGTTTGTTTGTTTGTTTGTTAACGCCGAACTCAGTAATATTCCAGCTATATGACGGCAGTGTGTAAATAATAGTCTGCACCAGACAATCAAGTGATTGACATCATGAGCATCGAACTACGCAGTTTGGATACGATGGCATGCATCAACCAAGTCAGCGAGCCTGACCACCCGATCCCGTTAGTCCCCTCTGAAGACAAGCATAGTCGCCTTTTATGGCAAGCATGGGTTGCTGAAGACCTTTTCTAACCCGGATTGTTTCGGATCAGAAAAGTGATCAAGTGCTGAGGTTTTTAGCCTCTTAGCAATATTACAGCTATATCGCGGAGGGAAACCAGAAATCGGCTTCACCATGTACCATGCACGTGGGCAATCGAACCAGAGCTTTCAGCGTGACAAGCTGCACCACTAGGCTGTCACATCGCCTATTGGGAATAACATAGTTATGATGTGTGACGTCGGTGGTTGTACTATCTGCTCATGCTATCGACCTCTGTTTGTCAAGATTCAGTATTATACAGGCGAAGGTCTTGTGTTTGACCAAACGAAACAACGCTTCTGTAATTCTGTAACACTATTCACATGTCCTTTTACTGGAATAGCGGGATATACCACAGGATATTCCAGAAGTGGCACATTGCACTCGGGGACGCAAACGTCGATTGTGATTGAATACTGTAAACAGCTTTATTTCTGCGCCGTTAAAATATTGCGAATACCACACCAAAGACAATACTGCGACGAGATATTGGGAGGTTGGAAGAAGGCAGGATTACTGTGAGGTAACAGTGACACTAATTGGTCTGTTTGTCATTTGTGATGTATTGTGTGACCATTCTGCATTCATTTGTGTTTTTAACTTATTGAGTAACTTGTGGTGCTGGTTGATGATTTCAGCATTTGATGACGTGTTGCAATGAATAAAGTATGTATGTATTATTTATACTTATTTTTGAGTTTTTAATTTTTGCGATTGAGTCTCGTTTGCAAAACTCGCAATAATAAAACGGTCGCAAACAATTCCCTGTTTACAGTATTGATGGTATATACGGTCAAGAAACATCTATTCCACTTGAGGTGAGGTGAAATGGGGTTTAACGTTGCGTCCAAGATTATTGCACTTAAATAGCGACGTGCATGCACGTGTGTGTGTGAGGCTGCTTGTACCAGTCCGGACTGATGCCGATTTATAGTGCTAGCCCACTGAGACACCATGCCGCAGTTTAACATGAATACCCCACTCAGACCCAGTATACTGACTCCGAGCCGACCAGTCCTTGTTTTAGCCCCTTAATGCCGAGCGCCAGACAGGGTAACAACAAATACCATATTTTAAAGTCTTTTGGTATGACACGGCCGGGGATCGAACCCCGGACCTTCCGCTCTCCAGGCGGACGCTCTACCATTAGACCACGAAGGCGGTCTCCTCTTTAAGGGATATGTGCACTATATAACAGGTTTTTTTTCATTATTTGTTAATAAGAGAGTCTCGAACCCATTGCTATGTCATCACAGTGACGTTGACATTGTGACCACAGTACCTGATGCATGTAGGCTCAAAGAGCTGTTTCTGCAGTCAATAGAGTTGCATGCTGTGATTGTATATCTCCCCAGTTGACTCGGCTGGACGTTTAGCAGCGGAATCTGGACCTGGAACCCCTCGTCCACTACTTGACGTCCATAAACATTCATCGCCACATTGATAGAGGTAACTGCAGGAGTAGGGTAGCTCGGTGTTTGGTTACCATGGTACCAGGTGATTCCTGGAAGGCTGGGCTTGCTGACCAGGGTCCATGACAACGTGACATTGGCACCGATTGCCAGAGTGGGGGATGAAGAAGACAGAAATTCCGGTGCCGCTGAAAGTAGTAGCATAGTGAGTGAGTGAGTGAGTTTGGTTTTACGCCGCTTTGAACAATATCATTTCGTATTAATTAATTTCGTATGCGCTGTAATTATCAAAGACACCTACAGCCACACTCCAAGTCTCTCACGATTATTTTGTCACCAGCAAATTAAGATATAATTGGTAGAACCTATTGCACATTCATATACCATGGATAGAAAATATTACCATTGTAGTGAGATTGGTTTTACGTCGCTTTCAGCTATATCACGGGGGGGGGAACCAGAAATGGGCTTCAAACATTGTACCCATGTGGGGAATCGAACCCGGGTCTTCGGCGTGACGAGTGAACGCTTTAACCACAAGGGTTCCCCACCGCCCCAAATCTTTAGTAAATAATATAAGTACTGTGATATCATATGCATATGACTGCGGCCTACATAATATAATCTCATATGGCAGCACAAATTAGTGATCAACGGTCAATCTTCGGGATAGGAACTAATGACAAGCGGTTCCTGGCACGGCCAGGGGACACAACTCTGCAAAGAAACTAACAGAGAATAGCAAAGTTTTAACGATATATTAGATCACATGAAGCGTGTCTGCTCTTCAAACACGTTAGTCAGTGATGATTTGAAGTGGCTTAGTGGCTTAATGTCACGCTGGGTGAGACCCAGTCTTCCGCGTGTGACGACATGACACTTCCACTTCTGAATACCTGACCAACCCACACCTAACAGATGTAACGATACATTGCTGCTCCGGTGCATCGATACGGTACACGACACGGTCTTATTTCTGTATCGATACGAGTCGATACACTTGCTAAAAGAAATTACTACTCGTAAAATGACACCCAGATGTTTTGTCAATCAAATATCAAGAAGTTATAAGTGTTTCAGGTTCACTACTCAGAATGGCCACAATGAACATGTATTTACAGGTAGCTTAATGTTTTGAACGTGCGCTGAAATATTTCTTGGCGAAGTTTCCATGTGCTTTGACGTAAATATACGTATCGCCATACGTATTATATCGTGATACTTATCGTATCGTGACATATATATTGCGATACCTACAGCACCGTCACCCATATATCGTGATACGTATGGGATCGGAACCCATATACCGTGATAAGTATAGCACCGTGACCTATATAGCGCGATACGTACAGCATCGTGACCTATATATCGTGATACGAATGGGATCGGAACCCACATATCGTGATAAGTATAGCACCGTGACCTATATAGTGCGATGCGTATAGCATCGGGACCTATATATCGCAATACGTAGGGCACCGTATCCCATATATCGTGATACGTATAGCACCGTGACCTATATAGCGCGATACGTATAGCATCGTGACCTATATATCGTGATACGTATGGGATCGTGACCCATATATCGCGATACGTATCGTGACCCATATATCGTCATATGTATAGTAACGTGACCTATATAGTGCGATACATATAGCATCGTGAACCATATATCATTATGCGTATGGGATCGTGACCCATATATCGCGATACGTATCGTGACCCATATATCGTGATACGTATAGCAACGTGACCTATGTATCGCGATACGTATCGTATTGGGAACCATTTATTGTGAAACGTATCGCGCCGTGACCCACATATCGTGATGCGTATAATACCGTGACATATACGTCGTGATACGTATAATATCGTGACATATATCGTGACACCACTACAAACAGAGTGAGGAAACTAGGACCTACCGTTGACTGTGACGGTAACACGTTTCGTCTCGGTAGAAGTTATGCTGTTGTACACAGAACATTCGTATTCCCCTGAGTCTCTGTACGTGACGCCCGCTTTCTGTAGCGTGTACGTTGGTCCAGCGTGAGTACCCCTGTAGCTATTGACCAGCGTGTTCCCCCAGTACTGCTTGTAGTCAAAGAAGGTGTAGGTGGCGGGCTGGCCTGAGGCCCTGCATACCAGGGTGAGGGTCCGTCCCTCAGTCAGCGTCACTCCTGACATTGTTATGTCTGGGGGGTCTGAGAGACGAAGGAAGCAGTCTTTTAGTACATGACATCACCTGTCGAGCAGTGAGTTGGGTTTAACGCCGCTTTAACATTATTCCAGTTATATCACGGCGGGTCAGCTTCATGTGGGAGGAAAGCCCGAAGTGATGCAGGTCTCAGACGTTTCCCACTTTGATGAAACCCACGAGCACGGGTATGGTGCTGACAAACCTAGAAACATAATCGGGGCGAACCGGGATTCGAACCCACAATCATAGGTTTCTGGCGTGCCCAAGGGACGCACCTCTGCACAGCGAATTGCGGCCCCTGAGACGAGTGAGGCCCCCTTGCCCCCCGTCGAGACAAAATAATGTGATCCGGTACCAACCGTGTAATGCTCTGGCGCAGGAACACCACATTCCTTCCATAACCCTGACCATATCCAGTGGTCGGGAAAAACGTTTGTTCCTTGGATCTTCGGGAAGCGAACATTGCTTTCAAAAAACATCTCAGCACTCGCATATTACGAATAACCAAGCAGGGGAGATAACTCAGTACATGATCCTCGGGTTCCTCTTGGATAAGCATGTTAATTACGAGACGTTCAGGATACCATATTACATATTTTTTGATAAGCATGTAAATCACGAGACATTGTCATTTTGTCACGATGGACATAAATATTGTAATTCCGATTGGTATATTTATTCCCAACTCAGGAACAATGAGACGTTATTTCGCTTCGACTGACAAATCATCATTGATGATTTTACGCCGCTTTTAGCAATATTCCAGCAATATCACGGCGGGGGACACCAGAAATGGGCTTCACACATTGTACCCATTTTGGGAATCGAACCCGGGTCTTCGGCGTGACGAGCGAACGCATTAACCACTTGGCTACCCCACCACCCCTGTAATGTTGAGTTGAATCGACATAAAACATTAATACCAAGAGATAAATCGAACCCGGGTCTTCGGCATGACGACGAACGGTTTAACCACTAGGCTACCCCACCGCCCCTAATCATCCGTAAGATTCGCCAAAATGCTGATTGGTGTACATTTAAACGTTTCAGCACACCGGTAGATCAAGTGGGAGTGTGAACCCCCCACCCCCAAAAAACAGCAACAAAAAGAACTGGAATATGATCAAATGAAAAATATAACCACGTTACAATACAAAGACCATGAATAAGTACATATAGAGAATCTCACCCGAGTGTCTTTTGATATCAAATATATCAACACGAGTTGATAAAAGTGGACAAATTCCGAGGCTTGCCGAGGATTTTTGCCACTTTTATCAACGAGTGTTGATATATTTGATATCAAAAGACACGAGGGTGAGATTTTATGTATCATCCAACATCATTCTTCCAACTTTTTCAATTTGTAGACAGTAATTAGCAGTGTTTTCAGTGTAAAAAGTACTGCTAAGAGCTTCAGTAGCAGAGCCATAAGTGACGTCATTTGATTGTGACGTCATGGTAACCGGTGGCATCACACTGGTCTGCAAAGCATTGGGATGTAATTTCATTGCAGCGATATCTACAGTGTAGATATCGCTTGATCTATTCCGAACAATATCTCCTGTGGGAGCCAGTTTTGGATGATAAATAATTTTGACTATGGTTTTACGCCGCTTTTAGCAATATTCCAGCAATATCACGGCGGGGGACACCATAAATTGGCTTCACACATTGTACCCATTTTGGGAATCGAACCCGGGTCTTCGGCGTGACGAGCGAACGCTTTAACCACTTAGCTACCTCACCACCCCTGTAATGTTGAATCGACATACAACATTAATACCAAGAGATAAATCAGGCATATAAACCCTACAATTTACTGTGACTGTTGTTGATGAGTTTCCCTCCAGAGAACCGTATACTGGCGCAGTCACTCTCGCGGAACAACTGTATACGCCCTGATACTCCCGGCTGATGTTAGCCATGATGTGTGTCTTGGTGTTTGACACGGTGGTGGAGTTATAGGTCCAGGTGAAGGAAGGTCCCCCCGGGTTACTGTCAGCAGAACAGGTGAGGTGAAGAGTTTCACCTTCTGTCTTTGTAATTGCGCCACTTACGTTCACACGAGGCCTGTCTAGAAAATAATAATAAAAAATAATATAATATAAGTACGCAGTTGCGCCACTTACTGTTTGACGGGGCCTGTCTGTAAAATAATAATAAAAATATAATATTAAAATAGTAAGCAGTTGCGCCACTAACTGTTACACGAGGCCTGTCTGTAAAATAATGATAAAAAATAATATTAAAAATAGTAAGCAGTTGCGCCACTTACTGTTACACGAGGCCTGTCTGTAAAATAATAATAATAAAATAATAAATAAATGAGAATGCAGTTGCACTTCATACTGTTACATGAGGCCTGTCTATAAAATAATAATAAAAAATAATATAATATAAGTACGCAGTTGCGCCACTTACTGTTACACGGGGCCCGTCGGTAAAATAAAAAAAATAATAATATAATATAATATAAGTACGCAGTTGCGCCACTTACTGTTTGACGGGGCCTGTCTGTAAAATCATTATAAGAAATAATATAATATAAGTACGCAGTTTCACCACTTACTGTAACACGGGGCCCGTCGGTAAAATAATAATAAAAATATAATATTAAAAATAGTAAGCAGTCGCGCCACTAACTGTTACAGGAGGCCTGTCTGTAAAATAATAATAAAAAAATTATATAATATAAGTACTCAGTTGCGCCACTTACTGTTACACGAGGCCTGTCTGTAAAATAATAAAATAAATAAGTACGCATTGGTTCCCATGTTTTTAGGATTATGGCCCAAGTTCAGGTCAGGGCTGAATGGACTCCTTGTTCTCCATTTTTACTCTGAAAACGACTGAAATGTGTATTGGTTGGTCAAAATGCGTGTCAATTACCTCGGCGGCATGAAGCGTCAACATTACACGAGTGCCACGGTGACCATACTAGATTTTTACGTACGCAAAGAAGCAACTTTTACAACACGTGTTACTTTTGATACAGTGCTATTGTCTGCAGCAGTCCTGCATAAGTGCGTAACACGCAACCACGCACGCACGCACACGCAAGCACACGCACGCACAGAGTGAAACCAAGGCACCACTACCAAAACATATACAACATTTCATTAAATTATAAACAAAAGTGTCATAGTAATGGCGAAAGTATTATTTTCAATATGGCAATACGACCATATCAAAAACGGATTGGAACCCCTAGAGTAAGTGAGTGAATACGGTTTTACGCCGCTTTTAGCAATATTCCAGCAATATCACGGCGGGGGACACCAGAAATGGGCTTCACACATTGTACACATGTCGGGAATCAAACCCGGGTCTTCGGCGTGACGAGCGAACGCTTTAACCACTAGGCTACCCGACCGCCCTTGAAACCCCTTGAACCAGGGGCGTTACCATTGGTGAGAATAAGAATTAAAAGTTTCAGAGACATTCCGCCTCGAGTAAAATTATATAATGTGAAACCATATTTAGTGGCATTTTAATTGCTGTTTGATGGCTTGAACAAACCATCTCCCAGAGGCAAGGGAGTTAGCTGAGTATAAAAGTCGACCTGAGTTCACTTTTGCCAAACTAGGCTGGAATATCGTGGCCTGATCGTATTTCGCGTGTCTGCCCCTCCTGTTGACCAATCAGATTCCACCTCTCATATCAGTCCAATTTGCTTCACACAAAATGGCGGTACCAGACTAGTGGAAGGCGCCTTGCCTCAAAGAAACCCAGTGCAAGTGGATTGCAGCACAACAGTTAAGTGAGTGTGAGTGAGTGAGTTGGGTTTAACGCCGCTTTTAACGGTATTCCAGTTATATCACGGGGTGTCAGCTTAATGTTGGAGGAAAGCCCGAAGTGATGCAGGTCTCAGACGTTTACCACTTCGGTGAAACCCAGGAGCACGGATATGGTGCTGACAAACCTGGAAACATAATCGGGGCGACCCGGGATTCGAACCCACAATAATAGGTTTCTGGCGTGCCCAAGGGACGCAACTCTGCACAGCGAATCGCGGCGCCTTAGACGACTGGGCCACCCGTGCCCCCCACAACAGTTGAACAAACAAAATATATCTGTCGACGCCTAGTTGACGGTACACGTGTTTAGCAAGTGAGTGAGTGAGAAATCAATTCAGGCCCTTTTCCTAACCCTGTGCCATGGACATATATGGTAACACTTACAATAGACATTTAGTATTTTAGGCGCTGATGTCATCTCAGTGGAGGTGCTGTTCGTGTACTCATTCTCCGCCAGACACGTTATGTTCGCGCCATTATCTAGTTGCCCGGATGTAAACGTCCAGGTCGATCCCCGATGCTGCACGTAGACTCCATTCTTCGTCCACCTGTAGATACATTCAGGGTTACCTTGGTTACTGGATACACAGGTCAGAGTTACATTGCGTTCTTCAAGGACGCCAGCGGATGGGGAAACGTTCAGTGTCGGCCTTGATGGAGAATCTGTTGACAATATATATATTACAGATTATTTATACATGTATTCATTTACAAGTACGTTCTGATCTGGGATTGTCAGAAATAGCTTTAACCATAACTTAAATGGCCTGATTTACCAGCAGAGAGAGAGAGGGGGGGGGGGCAGGGGGAGAGAGAGAGAGAGAGAGAGAGAGGGAGGGAGGGAGAGAGAGGGAGAGGGAGAGAGAGGGAAGAGAGAGAGAGGGAGAGAGATAGAGAGAGAGGGAGAGATGGGAGGGGAGAGAGAGAGAGAGAGCACAATACTTACAGACAACGTTGAGAGAGAGAGAGAGAGAGAGAGAGAGAGAGAGAGAGAGAGAGATGGGAGGGGAGGGAGAGAGAGATGGGAGGGGGGAGAGAGAGGGAGAGAGAGGGAGCTAGAAAGAGAGAGAGAGAGAGAGAGCGCAATACTTACAGACAACGTTGAGGGAGAGAGAGAGAGATGGGAGAGGAGAGAGAGAGGGGAGAAAGGGAGAGAGAGGGAGAGAGATAGAGAGAGAGGGAGAGAGAGATGGGGGGAGAGAGAGAGGGAGCTAGAGAGAGAGAGAGAGAGAGAGCGCAATACTTACAGACAACGTTGAGGGAGAGAGAGAGAGATGGGAGGGGAGAGAGAGAGGGGGGAGAAAGGGAGAGAGAGGGAGAGAGATAGAGAGAGAGGGAGAGAGAGATGGGAGGGGAGAGAGAGAGAGAGAGCGCAATACTTACAGACAACGTTGAGGGAGAGAGAGAGAGAAGGAGAGATGGGAGGGGGGAGAGAGAGAGACATGGGAGGGGAGAGAGAGAGGGAGAGAGTGAGCTAGAGAGAGAGAGAGAGATGGGAGGGGAGAGAGAGAGAGCACAATACTTACAGACAACGTTGAGGGAGAGAGAGAGAGACACACACAGAGAGAGAGAGAGCGCAATACTTACAGACAATGTTGGGGGAGAGAGAGATGGGAGGGGAGAGAGAGAGGGGAGAGAGAGATAGAGAGAGAGGGAGGGAGAGAGAGAGAGAGAGGGAGAGAGAGATGGGAGGGGAGAGAGAGAGCACAACACTTACAGACAACGTTGAGGGAGAGAGAGAGAGAGAGATGGGAGGGGAGAGAGAGAGGGGGAGAGAGAGATGGGAGGGGAGAGAGAGAGAGAGAGAGAGAGAGAGATGGGAGGGGAGAGAGAGAGGGGGGAGAGAGAGATGGGAGGGGAGAGAGAGAGAGAGAGAGAGAGAGCGCAATACTTACAGACAACGTTGAGTTTCGCGTTAAAGGAGGACACGGAAGATTGGCTGTTGGAGGCTCTACAAGAAAATAGGCCAGTATTATCAACAGGGGTCACTGGGTACGTCAGCGTGCTGATAGTTTTTTTCTTAACGGACGTCCCTTCCTGTCGCTGGACACTTTGTGACGTAACATTCTGACTGCCATTCCTGTACCAATTTACACTTGCTGTTGGAAAGCTTTTCGAAGTCTCGCAGATAAGAACGAGACTTGAGCCGTCCAATATATGTATGGATTCGCTGTCCCTCGTGATGTTGACGAGAGTAACCGATGTCACACCACCTGCAACGCCATTATTAATTATTATGACATATATATTTACATTATTATTCTGGTTCAGGAGGGTCGGTCGGGTAGCTTAGTGGTTAAAGGGTTCGCTTGTCACGCCGAAGACCCGGGGTCGATTCCCGACATGGGTACATTGTGTGAAGCCCATTTCTGGTGTCCCCCGCCGTGGTATTGCTGGAATATTGCTAAAAGCGGCGTAAAACCATATTCACTCACTCGGTCTGGTTCAGGAAAGGTTCCAGCTTGGAGACTTTACTTGATCACGTGTGGTAACTTCATTTGAAACCAACCCATCACCAGTTGCTAACCATTCTGCTTAGGAAAGGAACACAGTCATACCAGGGGCGGCAATTCGCTATGCATGGTTGTCTCCCTTGGATATGCCAAGATACTATCATCGTGGCTTCGAATCCGGAAAACCCCGTCAAAATGTTAGGGTTAGTGTACTTAGAGTGAAGGTCCGGGTTCGGCCGGGGCTATGGGATTGTGAGTGTGTGAGTGAGTGAGATGGGTTTAACGCCGCTTTTAACAGTATTCCAGTTATATCGTGGCGTGTCAGCTTAATGTGGGAGGAAAGCCCGAAGTGATGCAGGTCTCAGACGTTTACCACTTCGGTGAAACCCGCGAGCACGGGTATGGTGCTGACAAACCTAGAAACATAATCGAGACGAACCGGTATTCGAAACCACAATTATAGGTTTCTGGCGTGCCCAAGGGACGCAACTCTGCACAGCGAATCGCGGCGCCTTAGGCCTAATTTTTTCTTCCAGTAAAAAAGAATAAAGTCCGCGGGATGGTTAAAGTATCCATGCCTACCTGTAAGTTTCTTGTGAATATATGTAAATAGTTATTTCCATTCTAAAACCATTGTCAGTATTATAGACATGATTTGATTTGATAAAATAACCATACGAACTGAACAGGGCTACAGCCGGTCCAGTAGTGTCAAACACCTAAATTCTCGGTGCAGAGTAGCCTCCCTTTGCCCAAAGCCTGTGATCCATGGTTCGAATCCCAGATTGGCTCGGTTGATGATATAAATTTCTAACTGTCTATAGTGGGTGTTCGGTAGCCTAGTGGTTAAGCTTGTCACGCCTAAAACCTGGGTCCGATATCCGACATGGGCACAATGTGTGAAGCCCATTTCTGGTGTCTCCGCCATCAAATGGCTGGAATATTGCTAAAAGTGGCGTAAAACCATACTCACTCACTCTAAATGCCTATCAAAGACTTCCTCATAAAATCAATGGAATATTGTTTAAAGCCATCTTACTCAAAGGCCAATAGACGATGGGGATACGGCCGCATCCCACACGAACCAGGTCCAGGCCCTGACAATGCTTGGATGGGGATCTTACCACTCATTGCTTAGTAAAATGTAGCAACTTCTTAGTAAAATGTAGCAACTTCTCAGTAAAATGTAGCACCTTCTTAGTAAAATGTAGCAACTTCTTAGTAAAATGTAGCAACTTCTTAGTAAAATGTAGCAACTTCTCAGTAAAATGTAGCACCTTCTTAGTAAAATGTAGCAACTTCTTAGTAAAATGTAGCAACTTCTCAGTAAAATGTAGAAACTGCTAAGTAAAATGTAGCAACTGCTTAGTTAAATGTAGCAGCTGCTTTGTAAAATGTAGAAACTGCTTAGTAAAATGTAGAAACTGCTTAGGAAAATGTAGCAACTTCTTAGTAAAATGTAGCAGCTGCTTAGTAATTTGTAGCAACTTCTTAGTAAAAGGTAGCAACTGCTTAGTAATTTGTAGCAACTGCTTAGTAAAATGTAGCAACTTCTTAGTAAAATGTAGCAACTTCTCAGTAAAATGTAGAAACTGCTAAGTAAAATTTAGAAACTGCTTAGTAAAATGTAGAAACTGCTTAGTAAAATGTAGAAACTGCTTAGGAACATGTAAAAACTGCTTATTACAATGTAGCCCATGCTTAGTTAAATGTAGCAGCTGCTTTGTAAAATGTAGAAACTGCTTAGTAAAATGTAGAAACTGCTTAGGAAAATGTAGCAACTTCTTAGTAAAATGTAGCAGCTGCTTAGTAATTTGTAGCAACTTCTTAGTAAAAGGTAGCAACTGCTTAGTAATTTGTAGCAACTGCTTAGTAAAATGTAGCAACTTCTTAGTAAAATGTAGCAACTTCTCAGTAAAATGTAGAAACTGCTAAGTAAAATTTAGAAACTGCTTAGTAAAATGTAGAAACTGCTTAGTAAAATGTAGAAACTGCTTAGGAACATGTAAAAACTGCTTATTACAATGTAGCCCATGCTTAGTTAAATGTAGCAGCTGCTTTGTAAAATGTAGAAACTGCTTAGTAAAATGTAGAAACTGCTTAGGAAAATGTAGCAACTTCTTAGTAAAATGTAGCAGCTGCTTAGTAATTTGTAGCAACTTCTTAGTAAAAGGTAGCAACTGCTTAGTAATTTGTAGCAACTGCTTAGTAAAATGTAGCAACTTCTTAGTAAAATGAAGCAGCTGCTTAGTAAAATGTAGCAACTTCTTAGTAAAAGGTAGCAACTGCTCAGTAAAATGTAGCAACTGCTTAGTAATTTGTAGCAACTGCTTAGTAAAATGTAGCACCTTCTTAGTAAAATGTAGCAACTTCTTAGTAAAATGTAGCAACTTCTCAGTAAAATGTAGAAACTGCTAAGTAAAATTTAGAAACTGCTTAGTAAAATGTAGAAACTGCTTAGTAAAATGTAGAAACTGCTTAGGAACATGTAAAAACTGCTTATTACAATGTAGCCCATGCTTAGTTAAATGTAGCAGCTGCTTTGTAAAATGTAGAAACTGCTTAGTAAAATGTAGAAACTGCTTAGGAAAATGTAGCAACTTCTTAGTAAAATGTAGCAGCTGCTTAGTAATTTGTAGCAACTTCTTAGTAAAAGGTAGCAACTGCTTAGTAATTTGTAGCAACTGCTTAGTAAAATGTAGCAACTTCTTAGTAAAATGTAGCAACTTCTCAGTAAAATGTAGAAACTGCTAAGTAAAATTTAGAAACTGCTTAGTAAAATGTAGAAACTGCTTAGTAAAATGTAGAAACTGCTTAGGAACATGTAAAAACTGCTTATTACAATGTAGCCCATGCTTAGTTAAATGTAGCAGCTGCTTTGTAAAATGTAGAAACTGCTTAGTAAAATGTAGAAACTGCTTAGGAAAATGTAGCAACTTCTTAGTAAAATGTAGCAGCTGCTTAGTAATTTGTAGCAACTTCTTAGTAAAAGGTAGCAACTGCTTAGTAATTTGTAGCAACTGCTTAGTAAAATGTAGCAACTTCTTAGTAAAATGTAGCAACTTCTTAGTAAAATGAAGCAGCTGCTTAGTAAAATGTAGCAACTTCTTAGTAAAAGGTAGCAACTGCTCAGTAAAATGTAGCAACTGCTTAGTAATTTGTAGCAACTGCTTAGTAAAATGTAGCACCTTCTTAGTAAAATGTAGCAACTTCTTAGTAAAATGTAGCAACTTCTCAGTAAAATGTAGAAACTGCTAAGTAAAATTTAGAAACTGCTTAGTAAAATGTAGAAACTGCTTAGTAAAATGTAGAAACTGCTTAGGAACATGTAAAAACTGCTTATTACAATGTAGCCCATGCTTAGTTAAATGTAGCAGCTGCTTTGTAAAATGTAGAAACTGCTTAGTAAAATGTAGAAACTGCTTAGGAAAATGTAGCAACTTCTTAGTAAAATGTAGCAGCTGCTTAGTAATTTGTAGCAACTTCTTAGTAAAAGGTAGCAACTGCTTAGTAATTTGTAGCAACTGCTTAGTAAAATGTAGCAACTTCTTAGTAAAATGTAGCAACTTCTCAGTAAAATGTAGAAACTGCTAAGTAAAATTTAGAAACTGCTTAGTAAAATGTAGAAACTGCTTAGTAAAATGTAGAAACTGCTTAGGAACATGTAAAAACTGCTTATTACAATGTAGCCCATGCTTAGTTAAATGTAGCAGCTGCTTTGTAAAATGTAGAAACTGCTTAGTAAAATGTAGAAACTGCTTAGGAAAATGTAGCAACTTCTTAGTAAAATGTAGCAGCTGCTTAGTAATTTGTAGCAACTTCTTAGTAAAAGGTAGCAACTGCTTAGTAATTTGTAGCAACTGCTTAGTAAAATGTAGCAACTTCTTAGTAAAATGAAGCAGCTGCTTAGTAAAATGTAGCAACTTCTTAGTAAAAGGTAGCAACTGCTCAGTAAAATGTAGCAACTGCTTAGTAATTTGTAGCAACTGCTTAGTAAAATGTAGCAACTTCTTAGTAAAATGTAGCAACTGCTTAGTAAAATGTAGCAACTGCTTAGTAAAATGTAGCAACTTCTTAGTAAAAGGTAGCGACTGCTTAGTACTTTGTAGCAACTGCTTAGTAAAATGTAGCAACTGCTTAGTATAATGTAGCAACTTCATAGTAAAAGGTAGCAACTGCTTAGTAATTTGTAGCAACTGCTTAGTAAAATGTAGAAACTGCTTAGCAAAATGTAACAACTGCTTAGAAATTTGTAGCAACTGCTTAGTAAAATGTAGCAACTGATTAGTAAAATGTAGGAACTGCTCAGTAAAATGTAGCAACTGCTTAGTAAAATGTAGCAACTTCTTAGTAAAAGGTAGCAAAAGCTTAGTAATTTGTAGCAACTGCTTAGTAAAATGTAGAAACTGCTTAGTAAAATGTAGCAACTGCTCAGTAAAATGTAGCAACTTCTTAGTAAAATGTCACAACTGCTTAGTAAAAAGTAGCAACTGCTCAGTAAAATGTAGAAACTGCTTAGTAAAAGGAAGCAACCGCTTACCAAAATGTAGTTATTGATAAAATTTTGGTAAGCAGTTGCTACGTTTTGCTAAGCAAAATACTATACTACTGGTCGAGTCTCTCTTCAAGGAAGAAAGTTCTGTTATTTAAACATGCACCAATTTATCGTTGTTACAATAGCAACCGTAATCTTCTACATAAGTATTGGAATAGCTTTAAGTAATTATATAATTTCCCAAATATTAAACTTGAAATTAGCCCAAATAAACATTTCTATGATAACGCTATTTAATAAAATTGTTATATTACGTGTGAAATAAACACTGGATATCTGAATCACAACTTGACGCAGATACCTTAAGACCCACCAACATTTGCCCTCTTGACATTAAATAGGGTTATATATAATGGTAGCAGTATATATATCACATATATATTCACTATAAATAAATCTATTTTCATATTTAATGAGTGAGTGAGTGTGTTCAACGTCTTGGGCGACCCACTATGATGACACTGACAGGCTGTCGCTGTGTTTAACAAGGAAACACAATCACGGCAAACAGGTTTCAAAACTGGTCATAGTAACACGTCATGGCGGTCCCTGAGACTATGGAACTACAGATCAGATTAGAGGAGTTGGTCGTCTCACCTGGAAATTGAACTGGACCAAAGTCTTTTGTCTCGGTGTAATCTTTAGCTGGGTCGAAGGAGTCATGTTCCACGTGCACCCGGAGAGTGACACTCTTGTTCTTCATGGCCTGGTTATTTCCGACCACGGTAACAGAACTACTTGTCACCACGCTCGTTCCGCCGCATGAGCTGCTGGAGTATAATGCATTTAGGGGGCCACCCATCCCCTAAAATAAACAAACGGCGAGTTTGTTCTTTTAACGTTTTTTTACATACTTTTATATCATACATTGGATGTTTTCTCATTATTGACCTCATTTGTAGTACAATAAAAAAGTTATTAATTATACACACATATCCAAAACAATTAACAGGCGTCTATTTCATAATTAAGATCCGGGTAGGAATAGGTCTTCAGCAACCCAATGCTTGTCGTACGAGGCGACTAACGGGGACGGGTGGTCAGGTTCTCTGACTTGGTTGATGCATGTCATCGTATCCCAATTATATGGATCGATGCTCATAATATCAATTCCTTAATTGTCTGGTCCAGACTCGATTATTTACAGACCGCTGTCATATAGGTGGGATGTTGCTGAGTGCGGCGTTAAACAACAAACAAAGTGACTACTCTATTATTGCGAACCTTTTGCAGACAATGATAGTACATAACTACAGCAGTATAGATAGTAAATATTCCCTAAGAAGTCTCCCTTTATCACCACGGCCTTAATCAAGACAGGCGCACCAGTCACTAAACCGATGAACATCGGTCCACGACAAAGGAGCAGTATGGCGCACAGTCAACCAAACCGTCTTTGCCCAATCCAGCTGACTCGCCTATTACGAGAAGCAATTTAAGAGTGTGGCCCGGTTTTTGTTCACGAAATCATCTCGTAAAAGGCGACTATGCTTGTCGTAAGAGGCGCCTAACGGGAGCGGGTAGTCAGGCTCGCTGACTTGGTTGATGCATGTCATCGCATCCCGACTACGTAGTTCGATGCTCATGATGTCAATCACTGGATTGTTTGGTCCAGATTCGGTTATTTACAGACCGCCGCCATATGGCTGGAATATTGCTGAGTGCGGCGTTAAATAGCAAGCAACAACAACATCTTACCACGTCTGTCGTGTACGTCCAGCTTACATTGGCTTGCCCCTTCACACAAGGGATGGAGAGGGCAATGGTCAAGGAGCTTGTTGAATTCAGACTTGAGGGGATGTTGCTTTGCGTGGGGTTTGTTGTGACGCTTGACCACTGTAGTAGCCCTGGGTACAAAATAACATCAAGAACCATTAATCATTCACTTAGGAAATTCAAATTGAGGGGACACGGGTGGCCCAGTCGTCTCAGGCGCCACGATTCACTGTGGAGAGTTGCGTCCCTTGGGCACGCCAGAAGCCTTTGATTGTGGGTTCGAATCCCGGGTCGCCCCGATTATGTTTCTAGGTTTGTCAGCACCATACCCGTGCTCGTGGGTTTCATCGAAGTGGTAAACGTCTGAGACCTGCATCACTTGGGGCTTTCCTCCCACATTAAGCTGACACGCCGTGATATAACTGGAATAATGTTAAAAGCGGCGTTAAACCCAACTCACTCACTCACTCAAATGCACTTGAGGTATGTGGTGTAACTCTTCTGAGGGGCGGTCGGGTAGCCTAGTGGTTAAATTGTTCACTCGTCACGCTGAATACCCGGGTTCGATTCCCGACATGGGTACAATGTGTGAAGCCCATTTCTGGTGTTCCCCGCCGTGATATTGCTCGAATATTGCTAAAAGCGGCGTAAAACCATACTCACTCACTTACCTCTTCTGAAACGCTGAATGCGGCGTGAAGCATCAAACAAACTACCTCCTCAGCCATGAGTTAGTGTTTGTTTGTTTGTTCTTACTTACAGTCCGTTTGATTCCATTTGAGACCGATGAATTGCTCATTAACTCAAAATCTAATAATTGCAACAAAACCAAATTGTGCACAGCGACATGAATTGGACCAAAAAAAGTTGTTTAACAAACGATCATCATATTGTTGACATTTTTCGCCATGCCATACCAGGGATGACCAGTCGCTCATGGAACAGCCAGGTAATGAACAAGCATGTGCACATCTCAAAAGCCGTTTTGGGTGTTCAATCGGAGTCACTGTAGCAGGTTTCTGAAGCCGTGACAGAATCGGTGTCGCTGTTGTCCGAATCGCTATCGCCGCTGTCCGATGGAATCAAACGGACTGTAGTAAGTCTTGTAGCTCATATGTATATTCAGTTTGCCGACGTTTCACTCTAAAGCAGTTTGGTCACGACTATTCGTTCACTATTGACCTTTTTCACACTTTCGCCATCTTGGATCGAAAACGAGGCTTGGAGAGCATAGCTCCATGCAGTGAGTCGCATCAGCTCATAGGGAACAGACAGCATGTTGTGCATTTCACTAATGGACATTTTTAACAAACCAAAAATGGTATGCTCTGTATCTAAAACAGAAGTTATTTCACATTAAATCATGAGGTCCAACTAAAATATGCCTGTTATACACTGGAATTAGCATTTTGCTGTCAGGATCCCGGAAGTGAATCGAAAGTTGCATTTCGAGATACGTATTTCAGAAATAGATTGTTTTATCATTACCTCGTCGGCATATAGAGACAGTGTGACAGTACATTCAATGACAGAAGTTTTGTATCGTAAATAAACCGCATAACATGAAACACGTCAGTTTCCTTTTGCAAAATTGCTCAGTCAATGCGTGGCTTGGCGAACTCTAGATCAAGATTGAGATATGTTTATTTCACGTTTCATAGTGGTGTTTGCTGCACAACGCACTATCGTTTTGCCATGAGTCCAGTTAACAAAAGACACCTTTTCTGCTAAGATTTTCATTTTAACATATTACAATGTTAATTATGAAAATAATTCGTGTGTCAAAATAAATATTCAGAAGGGGCGATAACTCTATTCAGTGTGTACAATGACAGATGATACTTTCAAACATCACTTACTAAACTGATTATTGCCGATTGAGATTGCTCCGTGCACGACAAAAGTAATAATGTGTGAACTGTTTAAAATAAGTTAAAGGGAAACTAAAAATTGATAAATATAAATAATGTATGAAATTGAAGAAATATAAGAATTGATACAACTACCAACTTCTTGAACACCCTCACCTAATCCTGCATGATGAAAGGTAATTGTATATCGAAAGGAAGCTACTAATACATTTATCCTGATTAGTTTGAAAATGTCTTGATCAGATATGAGTACAGATAAAATAACAAAAGATATAAAGGAATCAACTTCAATTGGTAATCAAGCCAAGATAAAATATATGTATCGGTACAAATTATGTTGATGGAACAATCTGGATTTCTCATATTTAACAAAGAAAAACAAACCAAAATTTTTCATATCTTTATTTCTCACAATATACGTTTTCAAAACTTAACATGGACTGGGTGTCTTTGTCAGTCAAAAGCACCTAATTAAATTCCAGGAGAAAATAATTTTCTTGCTTGTAAACAAATGGTACAATGTGCTTTTTCAGTGTCCGATAAATATTGGCCATGTTGATTTGTGAGTGAATAAGGCTTTTCACTTCCTCGTCCTATTTAAGTGAAATATGACAGGAAGCACATTTGTTGATTAAATGATTATTGCTTTTCACTTCCTCGTCCTTTGACAGGACGCACATTGTAACCATTGTGTTACTGTCAGCAGAAAGCTCCTCCAGACATCCGTCACCGGATACTAGTACTTCATTGTGTTGACTCGCTGGCCTGAAATGAATAATTCAATAATATTGTAATAATATTCAGGTGAAATATCACGTTTTGTCACACCTACAGTCAGTCTGCCTCATTGACACTATGGTTTTCTGAGTAAGGTCATGAAGATCACAAAGAAAATATAAGACTTGAATTTATTTTGTCAAATGCAATGTTTATCCCTTCATGTGGTTTACTAAAGTTGATATCTTGACTTGAAAATATTAACTTTGTCAGATCACAAGATAAAATATTATTAAACATATTTTATTGTCCAAAAAGACAAAGGGCAGCACTTATTACCGCCTTCTCCCTATATACAGTTATACATAATATTGCATAATGAAAATGAACAATTTACAGTTGAAGCTTCCCATTGTGGAAACATAGTGCGCAATATATATACAGTGCTCATATGAAGGATATGTACAATGTGCTGGAAAGTGAAGACAGTGTGCATCTCATACATATCCTAATATTATACATTTTAGTGTTGAATATAGATTTAACAATATTAATGAATAACAGTTTGGAAACAATAATATGCTAGCTACTGAATCTGTTAGTCGTTTCTATAAATTTGTGTACAGACAAGACTATTTTTGTATTCAGGAAAACATCTAAGTTTGGATCACCAAAAAGAATACTATGTAGAGTTTTTTGTCCTCCAAGATTATCGATAGCTGTCAGTAATGTCTCCCTAAAATCATCATATAAGGTACATTCGAAGAAGAAATGGAATGAATTTTCACAAGGAGCATGCATACAAGGAGCATGAGATAAATTCATGCTATCATCGTTATTTGACAAGGAAAACAAATTTCTTCTATGTATTTATATTTTTTGCGTTTTGATTGAATTATATAAAAATATCAAAATGATCACACCACTTGACTTGATTGAAATAAACTAAAGTTCTAAAGATTGTTAACAATAGTAAAATATTACATCATAACAATATAATTATTGCAAAATGACACAGTAAGCACAACTATATTCTTATATATAAATTGATATGATTAATAATCTATAATACATGGCAATTGCTTGCACAAAATGAATCTCTTTGTTTTAAAAGTTTCAAAACATGTTTGTGGACATAAAACCAGATGGGTTTCACAATTAAACAAAGGGAATTAATGAGTTATGATTGCAATACACATGGGAATTAAAAATAATTCTTTTAATACTTTAAGTTTTTAGTAATGTCAATATCAATTTATGCATTTGAAATATTTGAATAAAAACTGTTAAAGAGTTATCTGTTTCTGTAAATTATATAAAGATCAAATGTAGATTGAACATTTACTGGACATTAATTAGTTGGGTTTTTGTTCATTGCATGACATGATTAAATTGGTACAGTAAAGTAAATATCATTTTGGTAGAAATATTATTGGTTACCAAAATTGCAGATCAAACTGTACTTTACTTTAAATATTTACACACCCTTTATGTAATAATTCAGTTGAAATATTACACCTCATGCTATCTAATCTGTCAACATTGACAATCAAAATAACAACTGTTCACAATCACAACAGCACAAGTAGATCGAGAGGTCTAATATTTTAATGGAATGCATTTGAGTCCATTACAATTTACATCAAATACGCAACTGATTGTAAATTCTCAGTAGGTTACAATTTGATACATTATATCAACATATCAATTTAGTTAGTTTCTGACATATATCTAGATATGGTCAAAAGGTCAATATTTCGACTTCAAATACAACCCGCAAAGTTATTTAAACTCACAATAAATAGTTTGGCTTAATGGTGTGTAAACAATGAATTATTCTTTACAAGATTTCAGTAGCATTTGTATTAAGTCTGTTCAGCTACCATAAACTGCACTGGGAGTTACCAGGTGGTCATGGATATTTTAAATTGAAATCACAACAGAACGGCCAGATTCACATTTATATCGGTAAGGAGACCAGATAACAGTAGAATAGTTTGTCAATAAGAATAATGTTCAATACTTACGATGAATGTACCGGGATGGTTAAATTGTCACAGTTTGTCCCGATTGCGTGCCTTGTTGACATCTCCATGTGTTTCATGTGCTATCCTGCCTTCACCTTCTGCTCTCCAAGCCTCGCTTTCAAACCGGAAGTAGCGAAGTGTGAAAAAGGTCAATAAGGACCGTCTCAATGGGGTTGTGTAAAGAGCGCCTGCCCACTGAGCGGGGGTCGCTGGTTCGATCCTCGACCACGTCATATACCTAGACGTTAAAAGGTGGTACTTGTTGTTACCCTGTCTGACGCTTGGCATTGAGGGGATACACGAAGGACTGGTCGGCTCGGAGTCAGCATTCTCTTTATGAGTTGGAGTATTTATATAAAACTGCGGCATGGTATCTCAGTGGGCTCACACCATAAAACCGGAATTGGTCCACAATAGTACAAAAGCACATACGCACATGCGCATCGCTACATAAGTGCAATAATCTTGAAAGCAATTGTGAACCCCATTTCACCCCACCATTAACCATAAAGTGTA